AAAAAAATTGAAAAAATTTCGAAAATTAGCGATTTTTAAATTTGTAATTTTTTTGTAGTTTTCCCCCATTTACGGGGAACGAGGGCATTTTTTTCAATTTTTGAGGGTAATGTCTTCGACTAAATACAATTTGTGATCTTTTGACGTATCATTGAAAGAAATCGGTTCGGTGAGAGTTGAGAAAAAGTGGTAACAGATACAAAAAAAAACACATCTTAGTAAAACCAATACCTTCTCAGCTTCGCATCGAAGCTAAAAAATTATCTTATATTTTTTCATTTAAACAAATACTTTTCGAGTTACATTACATTTAATATGAGTACTAACATTTATATTCCATTTTTTTCATTTTACGATTACTTTTTATCATATTATACTTACATTAGACACAATGTTATAAATGCATATGTGTGTATGTGTGAGTTTATTTATTTATTGTATCATTAAAGTGTAGTGTATATTAATATACAAACGATAGAGTAGGTAATTGATTTGACGCTATATTGTTTAAACCCAACTAAACGCTAAATTGTACATTCCGAAACAGCAATCATATTATGTCAATTGCCACCGGAATTTCTGGTAATCTTTTTCTTTTTCTTTGCCTTAATTCCAAATACTTGGGGTCGGCCACTCTTATCCTAAGCTAAACTTTCTGACTGCATATTGATCTTAACGATACAATTTTTTTAATTGTCATAAAATTTTCTATTTAATGATGTCAATTTCAAACTTACCAATTGAGCTAAAAGTTATGGTAAAATAAATTTTTTTTTTTTATAAACATTTACAACAATCAACTTTAAAGGATTAAAAAAATAGGTTAAATATGTCATTTTCCATATTTTTAACTTATTAATAATCAAAATCAGTATTATTGCAAAAACAATTTTTTTTATTCTTAATTATTTTTTTTTATATGTAAATACTATTTTTTAATAATATTAAAACTTAGAAGTGATAGAAAAAGTCTAATTGCACATTTTAAAACATCGCGAAAAGTTGATTTAGAATAGTATATTTTTGTTTCTGATGGAAGTTCCTTGTAGTCCAGTGTATAAAACTTATAACTTTGTTAACNTTTTTTTTTAAGTAGCCTTTATTAAAATAATATTTAGCTCAATTGGCACCGGAATTTCTGGTAATCTTTTTCTTTTTCTTTGCCTTAATCCCAACTACTTGGGGTAGTCCACCCTTATCCCAAGATACCATTTGACACGATCTCTCACATCATCTACGCTCACATCAGTTGTCCTCAAATCGCATTCAATAGCATCCCTCCATCTCTTTTTTGGTCTTCCTCTATCTCTTCTTCCTTCAACATTCATTTCTATAACTGTTCTTACAGCTTTCGATTCTTCTTTCCTCATACCATGACTAAACAATCTAAGTCTATTTTCTGTCATCTTATCCACGATTGACACAACACCTTTACTTCCTTTTATATGTTCGTTCCTTATCCTATCTTCTCTAGTCACTCCACTCATCCAACTAAGCATTCTCATCTCTGCTACACTTATTCTCTGCTCTACTTTCTTATCAACCGCCCAACACTATGAACCATACATCATAGCTGGCCTCACAATTTTATACTAAATTTAAAAACTATAATTTGTATTATATTTTAAAATCAAAGAACTATTAATCAGGATATAATTAAAAAAACCCAGCACAGGGGGGTCGCGGCACAGTGGTGCCGTGGTATAGTTGGATCAAGTATAAACGCTTCGATGCAAATCTTTAGATAGTGTTTAATTTTAAAAAAATTGGTGTTTTATTCCAAAAGCTACTTGATCTGCTGGTTCCTTATTAATATCTCGATTAAGATAAAGTATGTCGAATGAAAAAGGGTTTATTAAAAAATATTATTTCTCATAAAAAAATTGTGTGGATCCATAAACTTTTCAATAAGTTATAGCATTATAAAGTTAAATATAATATAAAAATAAAATCGAGAATTTTCACACAAAAATAGCATTTGGTAGCCATTTTTGCCGTGAAGACAAGTCCTGAGGTCAAATTTTTTTTTTTCTAATTAAAGTATATTACATTAGCTTTAATTTAAGATATATATAAAAGTGTCAGACCTTCCGGAACATTTTCAAAAGTTAAATTGAAAAAGTAAATTTTTTGTGAAAAAGTTGTCAATTTAAATCCCCGCCTGTGGGCAGATAAAGGGTCAGATTTACAAAAATATATCAAATAATAAGTAAAGACATCAAGCATCTATATATAAAAAAAATAATATTTATATGTTCATTTTTGAAAAAGTTATGGCACTTTTAAGTAAAAAAAATTGAAAAAATTTTCAAAATTAGCGATTTTTTAATTTGTATTTTTTGGATGTTTCCCCCATTTACGGGGAACGAGGGAATTTTTTTCAATTTTTAAGGGTAATGTCTTCAACTAGATACGATTTGTGATCTTTTGACGTATCGTTGAAAGAAATCGTTAAATTATTTAATCTTAAATAATTTAAGATTAAATAAAACTGTGAATATTTCCGGAACATTTTCAAGTTAAGTTGAAAAAGTTCTACTTTTTATATGCATTTTTTATATTTGAAGCCCCCCCATATATAGGGAAATAGTCTGATTTAAAAAAAAAGTATATCCAATGAAAGATGTATATAAATACTACTTCTCATGAAAAAATTGTATTGANTGTCAATTTATAGCAATTTAAAGTTGAAAATTTAAAATCAAGAATCGAAAATTTTAACACCAAAATTGCATAATTTTTAACTACGGCAGGTATTTGCGCATAGATGATAAGTCGTTGGGACAATTTTTTTTTTTCATTTTATAGTACATGACATAAGCTTTAATTTAAGATTAAATAAAACTGTGAATATTTCCGGAAAATTTTCAAAAATTAAGTTAAAAAAGTTAGTTTTTGNTTTCCGGAACACTTTCAAAAATTAAGTTAAAAAAGTTAGTTTTTGCAAAAAAGTCGCCATTTTAAATCCCCCTAGTGGGCAGGTTAAGTGTGAATTTTGCTGGGTTATAATTGATAGTCTAATAAAACATATAAAAACAAAATTTTTTTAGCTTCGATGCGAAGCTGAGAAGGTATTGGTTTTACTAAGATGTGTTTTTTTTTTGTATCTGTTACCACTTTTTCTCAGCTCTCATCGAACCGATTTCTTTCAATGATACGTCAAAAGATCACAAATCGTATCTAGTCGAAGACATTACCCTTAAAAATTGAAAAAAATTCCCTCGTTCCCCGTAAATGGGGGAAACCTCCAAAAAAATTACAAATTTAAAAATCGCTAATTTTCGAAATTTTTTCAATTTTTTTTACTTAAAAGTGCCATAACTTTTTCAAAAATGAACATATCAATATAATTCTTTTTTATATAGATGCATAATATCATTACCTTTCATTTGGTATATTTTTTTCATAAATTTAACCCTTAACCTGCCCACAAGGGGGGATTTAAAATGACAACTTTTTCACAAAAAATTAATTTTTTTAACTTAAATTTTGAAAATGTTCCGGAAGGTCTGGCACTTCTATATATATATATTAAATTAAAGCTAATGTAATCTTCTTTATTATGTAAAAAAAAAATTTCGGACTTTATTCTGTCTTCACGGTGAAAATGGCTACCAAACGCTATTATTGTGTGAAAATTATTTTTTACATTTTTAACTTTATAATGCTATAACTTATTGAAAAGTGTATTGATCAATATAATTTTTTTATGGGAAATACTATTTTTTAATAATCTCTTTTTCATTCGACATACTTTGTCTTAATCAGGATATTAATAAGGAACTAGCAGTTTATGAAGCTTTTGGAATAATCCACCAATTTTTTAAAATTAAACACTATCTAAAGATTTGCATCGAAGCGTTTTTTTTTTGATAGTGATTTTAATCACTTTCCGATATCATTATACTTGATCCAACTATGCCACATCACCACTGTGCCGCGACCCCCCTGTGCTGGGTTTTTTTTTATTTATTCAAAATTAAGTCATAATAATGTAATTATAGTAGCAATCATTGATACATATAATATATAACATACATTTAATTATATCAACCAACCTATATTAAAGATTTTTTACGCCGAAGTAATAAAAAGTACCAAGTCTTTTCTCTAATAAGTAATAATACTAATAAGTACTGATCCAAACATTTGTTATCTTTTTTTATCTCAAAATATATTGAATTATTTTTAATTTAATTTAGCATTTGAATTATTTAAGGAAGGAAGGTTTTTTCACACATGTTGTCAGTAATGCAATTGTTTGATGTATCATCAAAGTATTTCAGTTTTCTAAATGTTATTTCAATAAAAAGTGAAAACTAAAAACATCAACAATGATTGTTTAATGACAACTGTATTTTTTTAGAAATATCTACTATCGGGACTGAGGGTAAATTTTTAAAATATTGGCGTATAAGCTTATAATAGATGTTTTGTGATTTTTAACGTGTCGTTGAGCAAAATCGGTCCAGTAGGAGTAGGTGTAATGGCGTATCTGACAGAAAAAGAAACACGTCAAAGTAAAACCAGTAGTTTCTCAGCACGCATTGAAACTAAAATTCTTTAAGGTTGTCCAAAATTGTAAAAATTATGTTAAGAAAAAAGTAATGAAAAATATTTGATAAATCAGAAGTTCTTAAGGATGTGAAATATCCTTAATAACTTCCTAATTAAAATATGATGAGATAAGCTGTAGATAAGGTGGAAACATTTTGTATAAGAATGATAAATTGAATTATAAGAAAAATATTCATAAAGTGTTAATTTATTACAACATTGAAGTATCAATTAACGTTAATTAAAAAATAAATTGTAATTTAAACTGAAATTACTACAACTGCTTTAAATTTATTTTTTGTGATTACAAAATTATCACCAAATCAAATTTTTTTTACATGAACAATTTTTATTTTAACCCTAAAATATTTAGAAATATCAAAACCCATGACAGTAGTAAAACGTTTAAACATCAATTATTTTATGAGAAAAATAAAAATTACCTGCAAATGCAATTGTAATATAAATAACGAAGAGTAATAAAACAATTTTATTTTTAAACATATTTGAAGCTTATAAAAATTCTTTTAATGGAAGTTATAATATTTTTGGAAAAAATTATATGGATTTATTCAATTAGAAACAATTTAAAGTACTTAATGAAGTCCATATAAAGCTTGTTTTATAGGAAATTGAGCTTAATTTAAACGGTTCAGATGTTTTATTTTGGTTACTGATGACTCTATTGATGACAACTGTAATAATTAATTCAATAATTTTGTAGTAAATAGAGTCGTAATCAGTATTAATAACTATAATTTTATACGTCATTAATTCAGCACTGTAAATTCAAGAAAAATTTATCATGCTGAAACTATATGATCAAATTATTAAAATAATTGTAACTTCTTTCAAAAATGTTACATGATGAATTTAAATATATGATTCTTAGAATAATGACATTTGAAAATAATAAGATTTACTTATAATAATAATAATAATAATAATAAATTAGATAGTCTCTATCTCTTCAACTGTCAATAAAATGAATTGATACCATTCATTGTATAAATTATAAAAAACTGAGAAGTGTCCTGTTACAGTGCAACACACATAATAACCAAATTTCCTTATTTTGTTGGCCAATTAAATACGTTCAGATTAGACGACTTTCTAACAAAACAGGAAGTCTCCTGGGACTACGCTGCATGTACAATTCATCTAGGCGCACTACATCTTGTTGGAAGGCGAGTACTCGGCACACTCTAGCTGAAGTAGATCTCTCAACACTAGATAAAGTCGGCGATCCACACACACGCGAATTATTATCATAGATAGTGAAAAACTGTGCTGCGGCTTTAATGACACGGTAATGCTCATCGAACACAAATCATATTAACACCCGACCACAAAGCGCGGACGTACTACACACTGACTTTACTAGTGCCAGCTCGAATACAAAGGCTGACACCATCACCCTTAGCATCAAACGTGGAGGAGACATCGTTTTAAACAACAGTAACAACACAGTAGCGGCAACAGCATCCAAATCAGCAGCGGCGAAATCCATAGAATTGGAATACACGCACTCACCCCTTAGAACACCCAAAAAACAACGTAAGTTGTACGACCTTCACGCGGTTACTTTTCCGGCCGTCATTAAGTAGGCCGACAGCTTGGCGGGAGGGTATTTGACATGGTCCCGTGACTCGTGCCACCTTCATCAGCCGTCGCCTACTATGAAATTTTGACTGACCAACACCGCGTGCCTTACGCCACGGTGCAAAGTCCAACAAGTGCCGCACGGCCGACGACGACCCGCCGAAAATGATACGCTGAGTCTTCTTCCCGTTATGAAAGGGACAACGTTGACCAACCGAACCGCACCCGCGCACCGTCCCCATCAACGCTGCTAACCTGTTGTCGCCCAAGGATCACGCCGGACATCGTATCGTCGACGCCAGCGAAAGTGCCGCGATAGTATGCGAAGATTATTATTAACTGAGTTCGTCTTTTCGGTTATTTTTGTTTTTTTTTGAGTNTGGTTTTTTTTGTTTTTTTTTGAGTAACCTGTTCTTGCTCATTAATAAACGGCCCACGGATCTCTACCCTCAAAACCAGTGTCGATTACATTATTGCGACGTAAGTCGTGTCATAATAGATAGACAATTATTCTCTTCTTCGATTTTTGTTTTCAATTATAAATGCCTTTAATTGGTATAGTTACATAATACAGATTGGTATGTAACCCCATTAAAAAAAAATAATATACAGGGTGATTGACTAACTATGCCTCACGAATTATCTCTGAAAATATAAGAGTTATAAACAATTTTTTTTTTTAATCATTATGGATCTTTGATGAGATGTTTCACGAGAAAATTTAAATTTTTACCACCATCCCTTTTGCTTAAAAATAGTGTCAACTTCATATTTTCAAATGGCAACACTATTTTTTTTTATACCATTAGATTTAGATTAATAAAAAAAAAATGTTTTGTAAAAAAAATATTTTATTTTATTAAATATTAAGCGCTCCACGGCTCTCTAAAGTTTAGGGTTTATTAAAAAAAATCATTACAGACGAGAACGTTATGGATCGTAAATCGATAAGCGCTACCACTTCTTATCGGTACACTAAATAATAACGATACTATATTTACCCGACTACTGTTTTATTTGTTAAATCCCCTAAACTTTAAATAGTAATATCTCGCTTAGAATTTATTAAAATTGATTTTTTTTTTTTTTAGAAAATTTTTTTTTTATTATTAACANTTGTATAAATTATAAAAAACTTAGAAGTGTCCTGTTACAGTGCAACACACATAATAACCAAATTACCTTATTTTGTTGGCCAATTAAATACGTTCAGATTAGACGACTTTCTAACAAAACAGGAAGTCTCCTGGGACTACGTTGCATGTACAATTCATCTAGGCGCACTACATCTTGTTGGAAGGCGAGTACTCGGCACACTCTAGCTGAAGTAGATCCCTCAACACTAGATAAAGTCGGCGACCCACACACACGCGAATTATTATCATAGATAGTGAAAAACTGTGCTGCGACTTTAATGACACGGTAATGCTCATCGAACACAAATCATATTAACACCCGACCACAAAGCGCGGACGTACTACACACTGACTTTACTAGTGCCAGCTCGAATACAAAGGCTGACACCATCACCCTTAGCATCAAACGTGGAGGAGACATCGTTTTAAACAACAGTAACAACACAGTAGCGGCAACAGCATCCAAATCAGCAGCGGCGAAATCCATAGAATTGGAATACACGCACTCACCCCTTTGAACACCCAACAAACAACGTGAGTTGTACGGCCTTCACGCGGTTACCTTCCCGGCCGTCATTAAGTAGGCCGACAGCTTGAGGGTATTTGACATGGTCCCGCGACTCGTGCCACCTTCATCAGCCGTCGCCTACTATGAAATTTTGACTGACCAACACCGCGTGCCTTACGCCACGGGGCAAAGTCCAACAAGTGCCGCACGGCCGACGACGACCCGCCAAAAATGATACGCTGAGTCTTTTTCTCGTTATGAAAGGGACAACGTTGACCAACCGAACCGCACCCGCGCACCATCACCATCAACGCTGCTAACCTGTTTTTTGTTTTCAATTATAAATGCCTTTAATTGGTATAGTTACATAATACAGATTGGTATGTAACCCCATTAAAAAAAAATAATATACAGGGTGATTGACTAACTATGCCTCACGAATTATCTCTGAAAATATAAGAGTTATAAACAATTTTTTTTTTTAATCATTATGGATCTTTGATGAGATGTTTCACGAGAAAATTTAAATTTTTACCACCATCCCTTTTGCTTAAAAATAGTGTCAACTTCATATTTTCAAATGGCAACACTATTTTTTTTTATACCATTAGATTTAGATTAATAAAAAAAAAATGTTTTGTAAAAAAAATATTTTATTTTATTAAATATTAAGCGCTCCACGGCTCTCTAAAGTTTAGGGTTTATTAAGAAAAATCATTACAGACGAGAACGTTATGGATCGTAAATCGATAAGCGCTACCACTTCTTATCGGTACACTAAATAATAACGATACTATATTTACCCGACTACTGTTTTATTTGTTAAATCCCCTAAACTTTAAATAGTAATATCTCGCTTAGAATTTATTAAAATTGATTTTTTTTTTTTTTGAGAAAATTTTTTTTTTTATTATTAACAAGATTAATAAAAAAAAAAACTGGGTTGCTATTTGAAAAACTAAAGTTGATATTGATTTAAGGGTTAAGGGATGAAGATTGAATCTTCATTTTTCTTGTCAAGTAGCTCAACAAAGATTTATAACAAATAAAATAATTACATATACGATAATACTAATATTTTTAAAGAAAATTCGTGAGGCATAGTTAGTCAATCACCCTGTATTATTTAAATATAATTTTAAATATTTTCTTCAGAATAATAGAACTTTACCTTAATATTTTTTTAGCTTCAATACGAAACTTAGAATTTACTCTTATGTGTTTTTTTTTTCATTTATTCTAGTCATGATATCACACTTTTAAAATATTTAAATAGTTAGGCTCAATAGTTAATAATATGCTTGCTTTATATATATATATAAGTCACGGATAATGATTGTTTTTTCGATAATATGTATATGCGTAGTTAAACTAAATAGATAGTTTACAAATTAAGACTATTTTATTTTTCATTGAGTAGTTATTCCATTACAGCATAAAAACTAAGATATATGACGTCCTGTTTTAAGGCATGAAAGTTAAAATAGGGGATTTTAATAACTCTTTATTATAACACGCTATTATTGAGATTTAAGTATAATTATTGTATGCAGGCTTAGAATTACGCTTTACGTAAAGTATAAAAATATTCTGTTTACCGTATAACATTTAATAGTAGATATAGCAGATAATAAAATCATGGCATAATTATAGAATGTGATGATTCATTTTGTATACGATTATTCAGTCATAAAATGTTTCAATGCAATATTTTCCACAAAAATGATTCTTGCAGACAAATAATTCAACAGAGCTATAACCAGGACTTTTAAATGGGAGTCATATTTAGAAAATTTTCTTACCTAACTGTTTATATTACTTTTTTAGTTTCGATTCAAAACTGAGAAGGTATTAATTTTACTATGATATTTTTTTTGTGTCTGTTAGATTATAAATAGTGTTTGGTCAAAAACATTAACGTCAATAATTTAAAAAATTACCCTCGTTCAACGTGAAAATGGCAAAAAAATTACAGTTTTAAAAATCACTAATTTTGAAATTTTATAACTTTTTTTAATTTTTAATTGCCATAACATTCTAAAAATTTTGACGAAAAAAAACAAAATATTTTTCACCGTTAAACAGTTTATCAATGAAATCTAACACACTGTGTGATTCATTTGAATTAGAATCGCAAGACTTAAAATCAAGTTATTTTGTAGACATCTCACTAATTTAGAATTGCGCTTTAAAAGTAATCCATGAAGTTAAGTTGTTTTGTTAGTTGACAGGTACAGATGTAGATGTAGTTTCTACAACTGCACCAATAACTTCATCGGCTTTATCAACATCTGAATCTGAAATATAATCGTTACGAATACTTTATAATATTTTAATTAAACAAAAACTATTTTCAAAAAAATTCTAC